CACACAACCACAAACACACAAACACAAACACACAAACACAAACACACAACCACAAACACACAACCACAACCACAAGTACAAACACACAATGACAAAGACACAACCACAACCACAACCACAACTACAAACACATAATCACAAAGACACAACCACAACCACAACTACAAACACATAATCACAACCACTACCACTACCACAAACACAACCACAAACACATCCACAAACACACAACCACAAACACAACTACAAACACACAATCACAAAGACACAACCACAACCACAACTACAAACGCACAATCACAAAGACACAACCGCAACCACAACCACAACTACAAACACACAATCAAAACCACTACCACAACCACTACCACAACCACAAACACACAACCACAAACACACAACCACAAACACAACCACAACCACAACACAGCACACAACCACAGCACACAACCCGAGGACCCACAAGTAACATCGAGAACTACAATACTAACGACTATGGCAACATGCTCTTCACTATGGCATCAAGACAAATGATTGAAATGTCATGGTGGGGATCACTCGAAGTAAAGTAATTTGGACTCTCGTGTTTGTGAGCAAGGGGCATTCACTGCATTCACCCACTAGAGGTGCGCTCAATTGGCAGCACCGGTCAGGAGCTAGTCGCGGGCTTGCAGTGGAGACCTTGCACCCCCAAGCAGGGCACTTGCCAACGGGAAACCGGTGGAGTAGGGTCACGAGCGGTCACGAGTCACGGCGTGTCACTCGCTTTACTGTTACTACATAGGTGGATGGCCTTGTTTGTGATTTGTAAGCGATACTTGGATGAATGTGTGCTGTCTAGTTTTGAAGCAAAGAATACGCAAACTTTGACGCTTGCACCAACCGGCTCAGCCTAGTCGTACGCTGGTTCCATCGCAGGACTATGTAAAAGAAGGTGCGGGAACAGTGCTCTCTGTGCTAGCCCAACTTGAAGAGTCTGGGGCACAGCTGGGCACAGCAAGGCACAGCCACAGCTTGGAGCTTCAAAAACGACATCATTTGGATCCATTGGGATTTTGGTAGATGGTTTGAAACTTGATGTGTTCTGAACTTTACGCAGTGTTGGATGCAGTTAGTGCTTGCCCAGCACAAGCTATACAAAGTAGCTACTACGTGGACTTTGTGCTCATTGCTGCGACGGCATGTTTGACCCTGGCTACACACATTAACGCAAGGTGTTGGGTTGTTGCATGCACAAGACCACTCTTTGTGGCCTTATGTCGCAGCATCCTTCCACCCCAGACCACTGATTTGAGCCCACCGATTCACAAGGTGTGCTCTGTGTTAGAAGGAACGGAGTGAACCATCTGGTTTTACAAGCTGTTCCAAAGCTTGCCTCCAGCTTTTAGCGGCTTCAGCAGGGCTCGGTATAGGTTCGCCATGAGACGCTCTTCGGTGGCACTTTGGGCCTTGCTTGGCTTGGCCGCAACTCTGAGGCCACAAAAGGTCCAGAGATGTCCAGAGTCTGCACATGATCAGGAGGTTCATTGGATTATCCTCAACAATCCTCAAGGTAAATGCAATCCGTTTACATATCTTGGGCACAAGAAAAGCTGGGGAGTGATAGCTTTGCGCAAGCCCTGGGTTCTGCATTACATTGATTACATGGGTTTAAATCTGTGTATGTTTTTTTCCAGGAGACCTGGCTGTCCATTGTGTACCTGGTGGTTCCCCGTACACTGAGTGAAAGGTTCAACAAAAAGGGATGCCCCGAACCTAAGTTACTAAGCACGTCTATATAAGCGAATCCAAGCACCAAGAAACAAACACGGCAAAGTCAGACTTGCTTTCGCGGCATACTGACATACTGCCAAGATCTTGCAAGTGCTGCGAATGCATCTAAGAAATATGCAACAGGCAAGAGGTGTTTACACGAAGATCATCAAAGATATCTTTTTCCCAGCCTAACAGACAGGCCTACCGGATTCTCACCAACCTATTCAGCAAGCAATCTTGACAGCTTTATGGCGTGTAAAGTCCTCTCCACCCTTCGCCCCTGGACTTTCCTTCTCAGCCAGGTCAGGCCTTCTCTTCGTGGCACCCCTTAGTCGCCGAGCGCAGCTCTCAGCCCTCCTGGCGCCTGTCCTCTCCAGTGCAGCGGCCAATGCAGAAGACGCGCCCAAGCCGAAGAAGGAGCGCCCGTTTGGGTGCTCAGTTGGCCGATTTCCAAAGTGGCAGAGGGCGAACATCATTACGGTTGTAGCCAAAACAGAAGCAAGGCGCCTGGTAGGTTCAAGATCGCTTGCTTTCAATGATACCCATGTTCCATCATGTTGCTGTTAAATTGTCCTCACAGTAGTTTCATAATTATAGTTTCATTTGAGATCATGTGATCCGTCGGACATTGAGGCCTGAGGCTCTCATCGCCGAGGGATATCCCGCCAAAGCCATCCCACTCAACGGCGCCGCGCCAAGTGCAACATATGCAGACAAGGACAGGTGGAAACCAGCTGTTGAAGCGTTGTGCTATTTGAATTGAATACTTTGGATCAGTGCAATGTATAGGGGTTGCAGTTGTGAGTTGCAGTGGTGGTCTCAACGGATCCACCCGCAACACGTGCAAGCAACCCAATGCCCAATAAAAGCCACATTGGCTTTTGCCGTCATGAGTGACCATTTAGGGCCTTTCCCGGTTAGAATGTTCCAAAATCCCACGTTGCTCTAGCCAAAGGGGAGGGAGTTGCTTCCCAGTGGCAACTTGCTACTAGTAGTAAGGGCCTCCAACCTACTAGCGATGGCCTCCAACCTAGTATCTTCTTGTTGCTTGTAGTAATGTCCTGTTGCTTCTTGCTACTATTACTAGCTGGTGCCGAAGGCATGCATGTGTCTCTTAGTTCGCTTGGCCAAAGATCTTGCCTTTGATTGCTTGAACAGGAAAGGATAGGGAAGCTTCAATTTTGTTTGCATGGCGGCAGTTTGGTGAGGCGTATAGTCTAGTCTTAGTGATTGAAACCAGTGGCTTCCAAATCTTGGGCTTAGGCCGCTGGTCCATTGTTTTTGGAAAGAAGCTGAATGGAAAGTGGGAGCCTTTGAGCGGATTTTGCGCAGCGGGATTGAATGTGACCACTCTCCATGTTTTTTTGCCCGAGGGTTAGGCCGTGTAAAGGTGAGGTAGTAGCTAGAGGTAGCTAGTAGAAGCTAGGTAGCTAGTAGCTTACTTAAGCTACTACATATGGACGCAGGATAGCTCACGCTTCTTCAAGGGCGGCGGGGAGGAGCTCCCTTGAAGAAGCGTTCGCGCTACTGAGTTGGTTTCAAACTTAACATTTGAACCTTGGGAGATTAGGTAACTGTTGCTTCGGAGCACAATTGTTTCCTTGGTCGTGGGCTGACGGAGAACAGTTCAAAGCGACGGCAAGGCACTTGCAAGCTAGGTAACGCTTAGACTGAGGCCCGTGTACAAGAAGGATGGAGAAAAGCACGGGCCTCGGAGGTTCGGTGTATTCAGATACGCCAACATGGCCCTGAACCCGAGCATGTCCAAGTACAGCTAGCTGGCGGTGCCGTTTTGTGTGATCTTGTGGGACACCTTGCAAAAGTTGGCGGTGCCATTTTGTCTTGCAACAAAGACAAACATTCACACCTCGCACACCTCCTCCAGGTTCTTGTGATCACGTTTGACGTAATTCGGGCAGTAATCATAGCAGTAGGACTCCTATCAAGCTGACTTGATGCGGAAGCCCAGGCTGTTTCTCATGAGCAATGAATGCGGCCAGTTCCAGATCGATCCAGTTGCAAAGGCTGCACGTCCGAAGCTTGTATCCCAGGAACGCCAAAGTGCGGGTGTATTAAATACCTAGCAACACATCTTCTGAGAGGCAATCAAAAACTGGGGGGCAAACCTCAAGACTTTGAGGGATACGAGAAATGCATTCAAGGACGTAGGAGTGTCCACATCAATCCAACCTTTCAATATCTTCAACTTGCACTGTTGTGTTTCTTTTTTGACAAGGTGAGTTTGACATCCTTTGAAGGAAATGTACTCAGCACACAAGCTGCAGGTTAATAAACAGTTTGGGTCGCCCTTATCAGAGGCATGTTTGCCGGTGAGCGGCCAGACGCAGTCTGGACAATTGGAATCTTCGGGTTTGTCGAAGGAATTGCCAAAGTGAACCGAGGCAGAAGGCACATCGCCCATCATCGCCCTCATTCCTTATGAAGAGTTCTCGTTAGACAGATAATCTATGGTAGACTTTAGATTTAGATCGCTTGAGGTTTGATCACTTGAATCCGACATTGGCCCTAAGCCCTCTCAAACTCCCTTTAGGCTTAAGGCCATCCTTGTCCTTGTCCCCTCACCGGGCAGTCGTCCTGTGATGGCTTCGGCGTCAAGAAGGACTCGCAACTTGATGATTTGAAAGAATGAAAGACTTGACTTGAGAATGAAACTGTCTCAGAGTCTGGAAGATGCTTTTACTATGCGCCGCGTTTTTGTCATGTACCCACGGTGGATCACTCGGCCACAAGCGATTTAGCATTAGACATGTGTGAAGCTGACGAGAAATTTAGACATTAAAGATAACTAAAAGAACTGCAAGTTCCCGTTAGTGTGGCTGGCGTCAATGGCTTTACTATGCAAAAATAACAACTTCTTTGTTTAGCGGCATCAATAGCTCTTGGGTTCAGCCCCAGGCTTGCACGACCCTTAAAGTACTGTCATCAACAAGGTCACTACAAGCGGAGATTGCTTGACGTTTGCTTATTAGGTTGGAGGCCATCGCTATTAGGTTTGTACTATCTTTTTTTGTGCTTGCCGGGGAAGGCGTTCGAGGCACTTGTGTGATGCACGGAGGAGTCGGGTTGGGTCATTGACGGAAAGCCGGCGCCAGAGTTCAAGGCCGGCTAGCTCTAGACGTTGAACATTAAACACTGCAGCCTTCAGAAAGCTTAGACACGTATGAATTAATAAGTTATGATACTATATTTACTCATGAATATGTGGAAACGCTCTGCAAAAAGTCTTCCGCACATTTCTAAGGTCACAACGGCGGATTTTGTTCAACGGCGGATTCCACTTGTGTCAGTCACAGTAAATACAGGATTTGGCTGCAAAGTTCTGCAAGTGATCAAAGTATTTATATATATATACCTGTTTATATTTTAGCAACAAAAATGCAAAAGGAAATCATTCTCTACAGGTTTAATTACTGGCTGAAACTTCATCTCGTCAACACATTAATACACTTGCCTGAACTTTGAAGTGTTTCTTTGGGCAGACTCGTGAGTCCAGCATTTGCGGCCATTGTTACAAGCAAGGCCCTGCCTGATTCTTGTCCTGTCTCGTCAGCTCCGTGTCAGGTGAGGCCTGAAACCAAGGACGACCTGAAAAGCAATCTGGCCTACAGTCAGGCCAGTCCAAGCAAGTCGTTGTTCCATGTCGTTCCTAGCATACTTTGAACACGTTGTAACAACAGCAAGATCTTGAAGTGCAATCTGGGTTGGCAATCCGTGTTGTGTGGGTGCACACTAATCACTAATTGTCTCAACAAATTTGGGCTTGTTTATCAACGCAGGTCTGAAGGGTAGCCGATTGCAAGCAACAGATTGGAGCCTGAATCCGCATGGGCTTTTGTGGATTGTTTTTCCTTCTGGACCTTCTGGTAGATGCTTGGGGGTGCAAATGTCACACGCCCAATGCCCAAGGCAAAGCTGGATGATTTGGTGAATGAGGAGATGGCCAAGATGGAGAAGCAACAATCGGTAGGTACGTTGCTTGTCAGCGATTAGACGCCCTAGCGGGCCTGTGCGGCCCGATCCATGGAGTGGACCCGTCAGAGCGTGGGCCCGTGAAGCCCCGTGGGCCTGTGAAGCCCGGCGGGCCCGTGGATGAGCCTGTGGGGCCTGTTGCCCTGGTAGGGGTGTGTTCTCCCCTGCCTAGCATGGACTTTCATGAATTTTGTTGATGCTTCACAGACTTGACAGCAGGGGGCATGACCCTTCCGAAACTCATCCAATCCGAGACATTCGATGAGATTCGATCTTCAAGCTTCAAGTCCAAACATTTGATCTCCAAGAAGTTCCAGGTTCCGAGGGACGATGGCCGACGACGACGAGGCACGGGAGGTTGTAGAACTGACTACGGCAACCTCAGAAACATGCACGATGAGCATGAGCATAGCTCATCTCCCTTTTGAGTTGACAGACAACAAGAGAACCTGCCTATACTAGAAATTATCCCGGCAAGAGACCACCCCAAACAGTGTGTGTGAGGTCTAGAGGTGTAGCAGCAGAAAGTCTAGAGATCTAGAGAGGTGGTGAGGTGAGGTGAGGTGAGGTGAGGTGAGGTGAGTGGAGTGAGTGAGGTGAGTGGAGTGAGTGAGAGTGAGAGGAGTGGGAGTGGGAGTGAGCGTGAGAGTGAGGGTGTGTGTGTGAGTGAGTGGAGTGAGTGAGTGAGTGAGTGAGTGAGTGAGTGAGTGAGTGAGTGAGAGTGGAAGAGAGAGTGGGAGAGAGACAGAGAGAGTGAGAGTGAGAGTGAGAGTGATTGACGAGTGAGTGACAGAGTGTGAGTGGAGAGCGTGAGCGAGAGTGAGCGTGAGCGTGGGTGAGAGTGAGTGTGAGCGTGAGCGTGAGCGTGAGCGTGTGTGATCGTGAGAGTGAGCATCTGGTGAGAGCACAAGCCTGCCACGAAATTTGCACTTTGAGGTTCACAAAGTGCTGCGCCTGTCGCATTCGAGGTTCACAAAGTGCTGTGCCTGCTACAAAATCTGCACTTCGAGGTTCACAAAGTGCTGCGCCTGCCACGAAACCTGCACTTCAAGGTCCACAAAGTACTGATTTCTGAAAACCTGCCACAGGTAGAATAGTTGAGTAGTCACGATTCACTGCACCTGTCACGAAATCAGAGCGCGTCGAAGATCACCACCATGTCCAAAGTGCTGCACTTGCCACGAAATCTGCACTTTGAAGTAAAACCGCTCCGATCCCTTGCGCCGGTCACGAAAAGGCGACTTTGGACCGCCATAGCACGAGGTTTCCCTTGCGCCTGCCACGAAAGGTGACCACCAGTCCGAAAATGCGCACGGCACCACAACGAGAGCGCAGTCGCGAGAAGCACCCGCCGCGCCCACGCAGATTTTGCGAGCCTGCGCAGTCGAAATGCACTTCGACGATTTCGAGAAGCATGAGTGCACTGTAAATAGCAGCGAGTAAGACGGACGCCCCGGTGCAACACCTCGACCAGGCACCGGTGCTTAACATTTACCGTAAGAGCCCTTAGTGTGTCCACACTGTTTGGGGAAAATCTAGAAAATGTTTGCCCTGCAACTGAGGGGCGTAAGGGCATTACATAGATGCAAAGTGCACTATGGCAAAAGTTTGTTTGCGTGAGTCATGTGTCACCTCATGCAGTCGAATTTCCTCCTTCCAACTCCTTGTGCCGGGGCCCGGATCCTTGTTTTCCTTGCCTTCCTGCCTCGCAGCTGGACGTCAGGCTGTGGGCGATCGACTAATGAGCAAGATGGGAGTCCCGAGCTGAGTTGGAGCACAATCGAATCTATTGAATTCAATCGAGACCACTCGCAGAACTCAAAGTTCAACAAGATAGGAGGCCTCATCGGTTTTGGCATAACGACCTTTGACCAAGTGACAACTCGCTGTAAGCCGGGCCATGTTGCCTTCTTTTGTAGAGGTGTTTTCGGCACATCGAGATTGATAGCAGACCGTATGCAGAACCGAACCTTTTTTGCCAAAGTTGGTCATTGAATACTGCAATCTTGATAGCCCAGGTTGTCAACCTGGAACATTATCACTGATCACTCAGTTTGTTTTTCTACTTGAAGAGAAGCGTGCATGAAGTCAAGTGAGTTTTCATCCGACCCAGCTTTGCACTAGATGGATCCAAGGCCAAGATCATCAAGGGCATGTGAGAAGAGCTTGAAGAGAAGGGCAAATAAACTCGCAGCCTAGTTACCTAGTTGATCTGAGCGCGTTCATGAGAACCCTCAGGCTCTCAGGCCGCGCTGAAGTCACAAAACCGATTCCTCAAGCCGTCATACTAAAGGTTCTGAAGTGAAGTTCAACCTCGAGCAAAAATGACTCTTCAACAACCTGAAAGCTGTTGCTCCAAGTTTGACTCTCAATGCCATTTTCGGATTCCGGGTGTGGCAGCGGTTGTCATGCTTGTGTCCCCAAAGCCACGGCTGCTTGATCACTCCACCTCACACTTTTATATAATCACTTTTGTGTGAAGTAAACCTGCCACTGCCAAGGTACTTTATATGAATGTACATATAAGTTGATGCAACTTGTATGATATTATAGCAATACGTGATATATGATATATGTGTGTGTGACAAGTCAGCCCGTGGATCATGATTTCAACAATATGATCGACTTCCGCTGCAGCAGCGGCCACCAATTTTCACCGTGCGACGTGTCCAAAAGGCTTTAACAATGAGGCGTTGAGCACAAGGGGGTTGTGCTGGTACAGACCTGCCCTTGGACCACCTCGTCTTGCAGTTTGTCCAGATTGTTTCCAGTTGTGTTTGCTTGCGAATTTGCCAGACACAGTAATGCCAAGCTAGTCAGGATAATCAAGAGTACAGTTTGGAAGATCGTGTAGATGTGGCTTTGAAATAAGTCCCGGAAGGGTATTTGAGTCGCAGCTTGCGGCAAGTCGTTGGCCTCCGCCAGATTTAGTTTAAGAATGCTTCTTGCCATCAAAGCAGCCAGACTCGTTCTCCTGGCTCTTTTTGAACAATTCCTTTTCGATATAGCACATTGTGAAGGTGTTTGACCTCAACTCGCATGCCGCTGAGGCTCCTGAATCGATATACCCACTTTATCATCGATTCTTTCGAAACTGTCCGAGTCTTGGAGTATCGGTTGGATATGCGCCCAATGTCCAGACATTCCTAACCTACATGGTGTTTACTTCTCGCCATTTTTGCCAAGCTATTGTTGCAGATGAGCCCTGCTGCCGGAGCAGGTCTTTCAGGCTTGACAAGGTTCTTCATATCTCACACAAATGTGGCAGAGGTTTCAGGGGCCATCCATCAGTTGTCAACAACCGCTTGCACAAGTGTGCTGCGACTTTCTTATATACTTTATTGAAGCTACTGTTTGGTCTCTCATGAACATGAATGTCAAGAGATATATGCTCACAGAGGGCCCTTCAAAGCCTTGAAAAAGAAACATGTGACCGTCAAGATGAGGAGATCCTTCCACTCTGGATTATACAACAAACATTACTGTAATCGACTTTTGTGCCTTCACTGGATTATTTTTAAGTCAAATTGAACCACTGGTCCTACTGCGCGGGGATTGAGGCCCTTCCGAAATACACTGGCCTTATCTCCAGAGCTTCAGCCTCAGAGGTTGGAAATGAGATGATGCTGAATGATACCTTTAGAGGCTTCAGCCTGCCTTCAGCCGTTGTCACTTGTGAACAGGAAAGGATTGTATACCCGGGTATCTCGAATGTCAGGTTAATGATTAAACGATTCTCGATGCTAAACGGACATTCACTTTGACCTTGTCTTGCCTTTGTCAAAGTGGATGGGAGCCCCTTTGTCGTTTTGCTGTGACCGGCTTTACGATTGCACCAAGACACCCATGAACTTGCTCTTGTTCGTGCTCTACATCTTCTCGGTCCTGTGCGCTCCTGGATCCAGTTCGTTGCGAAGAGCGTTCTTGGCGTCACAATGTATCAAGTGACAAAGGTAGATATACCTTGGTATGATGGGGCAGCAATCAGATCAGTTACAACAAATTGTTGTGTTGATCCCCGCCTTCGAGTCATTTGGGCATGGAGTTGGCTTGATGACATGATATTACTTGGAGGCTCACAGATGATATGAAAATCCCTCTTGAGCCATACAAGGCACCAAAAGGTTAGTGTGTCTATGCGTTCTTTTAAACACACTGGTTTCTGGGATGTACTTTGCAGTAGGGTTCCTTGCCTCAATGCCGATGTTGACCACTGATTGGAAGGCGGGTGATAAATGGATGTTTTTTTTCATGCTAAAGCTCCTAGTAGCCTCCTTGCTCCTAGTAGCGATGCCAGGAGCCCTAGTAGCGTCCAGGTATTGTCATCGATTGGCTCCCGACAGGTACTTCATTTTCAAGATCTGTATGGTTAGCTTGTGGATGGCTTCTGGGATCCTTTGCTGCCTGTGCCAGAGCCCAGTTTGCCTACGGTGATTGCCGGATCATAGCACCACCACAAAGCACTGATGGAAAGTGAGTCGCACAGTTTGGTCATGAAGCAAGACAAAATCAACGAGTTGACGTCATGAAGCCAGAAAGCCAATCGCCAATCATCCCTGTAGACACTTTTTTGAGTAACTTGGCAGCAACAGTAGCACAGGCAGGCTATGGTTTAACCTGTGATCCGTTTTTTGACAAAACCCTTCTTTTCTGACCTGGCATATGTGTTTGTAACCCTGGCTTGAAAAAATCGGGTATGGTATTGGAAACCCGTTAAAACAACCTACACCTACAAGTCAATTCCAGGAACATGGTTTTAATTGTTTTTGACACCCAGGAGCACTTATTATCCCCCGACGGTGCGGGGGCGTTGTGCCCTCCCCCCAACCCCGCGCCACGAAATCTGCACTGGTTATTCCTATCTTCTGGCCTGCCAGAAAATCAGCAGAGTTCAGTTGGGCAATGTTCGCCTTCGATCTGCGGGGCTGGGAGAAATCCGGAATTCCTCCCTGCAACCCTTGGTGTTGTTTGTGTTGGAACCCTTGCTTGGAACCGTGGGTGCTGTCTGATGCAACCCTGGAACCTTGGAACCCTGAGCGCTGCCATCTTGGAAGCCTTTGTGTTCAGAATGCCGCCTTCAAGTTTGGAACCCTAATTACGTAGGCTATAGGTGCTGTTAGGTGCTGTGATGTGAATGCCAAGAGCCGATCTTCAAGGTGTCAGGCCGTTCAAGCATTCAGGTTCTGGATGCCTCCACCAGACACGAAGAAACGTGAAGACATTTCTGCACCTCGGAAACTTCCGTGTCACACATCCTTCGACGAACTGTTCTGAGTGGACTGCACAGCATCATGCTGAAACCTCAGTTATTTTTTGGGGGGAAGAAGCCATTCCAATGTAGCAAATTTTGGTCATTTCAACCTAGACTTGTACTTAGCATGCTTAATTACCTTTTGTGGGCCGATCGAGGAGAAGCTTGAAGATGAAAGAGCCATTCCGTTCCAACATAGCCTACCTTATTTGACCGCCTGAAAATTTAGAGGAAGGAACCACCCCAACGTAGCAAACATCTTGTGAGCCACCCGAGAGTAAACAAAACTTCAAGGGATGCAACCATTCCAGCTTAGCATACCTTTTGTGACCGATGCAAGGCTCAAATCTGGAGAAGGAAAAGGCCATTCCAATGGAGCATAGCTTTTCTGAGCCACACGAGGGTAGAATTTAGAAGAGAAAGGAACCGTTCCAACATAGTGTGGGCCACGTGAGGGGTAAGACCATTCGTGAGCCAAGTTTAGAGGGGGAAAGGACCGTTCCAACGTGGCACTTGTTGTCGTCATCAAAGCAGTTCATATGATTTGGTTATACACTTACTTATACGGTATACGCGACCTTTGCAGCATAGGAAGACACATTTGATGGATGAACCTGCAAATTGGCCAAGGAATCTGTAACATGTTGTTTGTTGAAAGCTCGCAATGCGTCCACAAGTGCAGGATGACCCTCCTGCAACGGGAGATATCATCCAAACGAGGTTGAAAGTAACATGTTGTGCGCATCAGGAACAATCAAACACATGCAGTATTTGTGTTGGACCATGACAGGCACGAAGGTGCCTCGCTGTTCGTTTGCATGTTGAGGTGCTGTTGCGGATGCCGCTGCTTGCGGAAGAAGGCTCAGGTGGCATCAAGTCATTGGTTCAGACATTTTCAGACACTTCCATGATAAATAGTTACTTTGATGGTTTTGCGGACTTGTGCTTTATGGCTTTGACTGGAAGAGTTCAAGCACAAACAAGTTGATAATCGTGTGCAAATAGACGGGTGATGCTAAAGTTCTACAAGTTTACAGTAACAGGAGTGTGTCGGGACACTGGTGCCCTTTTCACAACGAATCATTCACCTTTTGACAAGTGACAAGATTGACTGCATGCTGATGTCTGGGAATTGTCAACCCTGAACGGATGAATTGCAAACACTTACACGGTTCATTTTGTCCATAAGTGCCTATAGAAGTCGTCCTCGAACAGTTGGTTCCAATTCCAGACAGAACTATTGGTAGGACAGCAAGTTGTGTGGTGGACTTCTGGAGAAAGCATGTGGTTGTCCCGCATGAGGTGGAAACGAAGGCCAAAAATGGCAAGACGGGGAAGGAGTCAAAGGCGGGAAGCGGAGAGGTTCCACATATATGTACTTCTGGCCCCGGATATTAAGACGACCGTTCGTATCCTGTTTTGCCCATAGTGTTTGGGCTCAAAGGGCATGCACCCGTGTCGTTTGTGTTCCATTCAGTGTACGGACACAGACCCCGTTTGTGGTTTCTGCCGGGCGCGTGATCGGCTTTGGCGTTCGTTGGACACCCTCCCAGTGAGAAGTCGAGGGTGGGGGCTACAGAATCTTCGGATCTGGACTAGCATCATTGAAGAGGAGCTTTGATAGCCGAGCAGACGACAGGGTGGACAAGAGCTGGGTGAAACCCAAAGAGGAGAGAGGCAACAGCCTCTTTGCCGCGAAGCCCGGGCTAGTTGAGGTAGAAGACTTGAGGAGGAAGGCAAACACTCCAGCGGCTCTAAAGTGGACAAGGAGAAGAAGAGGCACCGCTCATCCAAGGAGCGCTCATCGAGAAGGAGTCCCAGTCGTCGACGACGCGATAGATCGAAGAGTCACCAAGGCAGGAGACGGAGAGGAGCGTCACAAGACACCTCGAGAGAAGGGACCCGTTGAGAAGGAGAAGAAAGCTAAGCCCAGTGTCAAGCCGCCGCACACGCCATCGAGGTCGCCACCAAAGGCCCCGAAGCGGCCACCTGTGGCTAAGGCCAAGCAGAGGCCGACTGGACGCTACTGGCAAGGACCCATCAGGTCTTGGAAGCTTGATCCAGCTTGTTACTACGGAGTGAACAAGGGCGTGAAGAAGAGGGAGATGCATTACTTTGAGGACCCAGGGGGTCGTTGACCCTTTCTTCTATTTCAATGCCACCAAGATTTGAGGCGAGCTGGACGAAGAGGGCCTCCTGGTCGGAGGTTAGGAGGGTGGACCGGGACGCAAGTCCGCAGATTTCTCCAAAAGTTGATGGTCCCTGAACATCACATCGATGCGGGGGCGACTATAAGTACAGCAGAGGCAGATGTGAGGCCGTGTACTCTGGCCACTTCCCTGCCACCATCTTGCCTCGCTTGAAAAAGTTTGCATGAAACCGCCGGGCGCAGGAGACAGTTTTGCCGAAGCCATCCCATGGTTGGTGAGCATGTTGGTTCGTTCATGTGTGAAGACCGGTGTTGACCTGCAATGCAAGGCCCAGCCCAAGGGCGACATCTTCCCGTTGCCCACCAGCGTTCTACCTCCAGCGGATGGTGGAGGCGCCTGAGCAGAAGTGGTGATGGTGAGAGGGATGTGTTGCGCGTTGAATAATTTTTTGGGCAAGGCTGTTGAGAACTCTTTCTACCCCACAAAGCTTCAGGGTGAGGTCATAAAGGTGCTTTTTCTATATCCTTCGGGTCCCCGGAGAGTGCCAAACTCCTTGCCTTCAACAAGGTATTGCCTCGCACTGCAGACGGTCCGTACTACCTTGCTTCTCAGGTACTTCCAACGGGATTCAAGAACTCAGTGAGCCTGGCGCAACACGTTCACCGCAACATCATTCGTCGAGCTGGTCTTCGAGCATGCCTCGAGTAAGATCCGCAAGGATCGACCATTTTCCGGATCACCCACGCTCCACAGGGTGTACCTAGACAATTGTTTTGATTTCGTCGAGAAGATGGACAAGAAGACCGCTCAGCTCCTACAAGGGGAGTCCAGCCCAGCCCTTCTGGCGTTGAGGGCCGAGTATGCGAGTATATGAGGAATGGGGTACACCCCGGCATCCAAACAAAGCAGTGTCTCGCTCGCTGCAAGCGGAGGTCCAGGGAGCAATTATCGACGGGCAGGCGGGAATAGCCTACCCCAAGCTGGTGAAAGTTTACAAAGGAGGCATGCAACCAGAAGCAGGCTCAGGTTCTGGCTGGAGGCCTAGTCTACAGCATGTTCCGTGGGCCTTTGCTTGGCTGCCTGAACCTGCTTTGGCGATTCATTGATTGAGTGTTTCCGAGGATATCCTCCATTCATCAAGCTTTCCATCCAGGCCGGAGTTAAGTTGGAAATCTCGAGGTTTGCCTGCCTGATGCCTCTGGCCAAGTGAACTTCCGCCTCCTGGTCAATGGGGGGGTCACGGCTAGCAGCGCCTCCTGTACGGGGAGGCTTGACTACAGCAGTACAGGACTGACAGGCTTTGGGCAGGCAGCAGCTGAGGCACACGGGCAGATGAGGGAGTTGAGGACGTGAATGAGGAGATGGTTCGCTCGTGGGCATGCCGTTACTCCCAGGCATCAGTCGCGCTGATCGGCGCAGGCCCACCGCGCCAAGGAGTGAGCGGGCTGAACGCCAACCGTCGAGGCGCTCTCCGTGATCCAGCTCCTTGTTCAGCCATGCGACGCGGATTTGAGACCTGGTTAAGCTTCATTTTCCATGGGCACAGGTGCGGTATTTGGCAGAGAGTGTCATGAGCATGGATGAAGAAGACAGGAGTGTGATGATAGCGTCCTTTGGAGACACCCCACTTTGCATTGACGCAGCCAGCCTCCTATAGGATCGGGGAGTGCTCGGCGCCGGGCAATTGAATTGAAAGCTGAGGTGGACCCTGGACTGTACCTCATGCCTGGGTGCGTGAGGACTTCTCAAGACCCGCTCCCAACCTTTACGACTTCGAGGTGAAGCGATAGTCCGGGGAGGAAGGTGGCAGGACTTGAGACTTTGCGTGAGCAGGAGCTTGAGGCATGGCAGCGGGGTCGTTTTCGTTTCCCCCCATCACGGACCCAAGCGGAAGAGATCGACTTCCGAACATCACCGAGAGAGAAGTGATCATAGGGTTCCCAAGCTCTTCAGGAGCAGCGTCTTGTGGAGAAGCTCCTGAACCTGGTGAGTCTGAAAGGCAAAGACATCATGATTCAAGCTCGGTCAGAAGAGACCTTGCGTTACCATCGTTTGCGCGCGAGCTTGCCTGCCTCCCTCTGGAATTGGAAGACCATCACTGGCTGGCACTGGACTGTGCTTACCACTCTCAGGTGGCGAATCACGCAGAAGAAGACCTTTCATTCGAAATTCATTCATATGATCGATAGTCTGGTGTGCCTATATACATTCTCTGTCTCGCGGACGAAGCAGCAGCAGGAATGAGGAGGACGCTTTGTCGCATAGACGCTCTACTTCTAGCGTCGGGAAATCAGGGAGGTGTGTCCATACTTCACAGAACCCAGCGGATCGGCTGTCTCGGCGGCCTGTTCGGAAGAAATGGTGAGGAAGAAGACAGCCCATCTCGAAGGTAGAAGTGAAGCAGAAAGAAAGGCGCAGAGAAGAGCGTTAGGCCCACTCAAAAACCTCACGGCGCAGAGCAAGACTGGAGATCGCTACAATAAAGCCTTGGAAAAGTACAAGAAGTTCCTGAAGGATGAGAACCGGACCTTCCCGCAGGATGCGGCAGGCCATGACTACCTCCGTGCAGGACCAGCAGCCAGCGGTGCGAGCGCCGCCATTGCCAGTTGAGGCCCTTCATGTCCTTGTTGGGTACTCCCTGTTTTCAAGCAACAGTCTCTTCGGACTCTCACTGCACGGGCTCCTACGCACCCGGGGGCTACTTGGTATCCGAAAGTCCCATATTTCGCAAGTCGGACCACCTGTCATTTGCCTAGGCATGACCAAAGGAGGCAAGCGGGCCGGAGCCTCGGAAAGTATAAGAATCCGGGAGAAGGAGACCCTTCGTAGGCTTTGGCAATGGCTCAACACACCTGGAACTCCTTCCCTACTTTGTGGAACAGCTTTGTGGAACAGCTCACACTTAGAGGAAGACCTTTAACGACGCATTAGAAGCTTGTCAGCTGGGGGGTATGACTTTCGCCCCTACAGCCTTCGCCGAGGAGGTGCGACAATGTACTTTGGCAGACATGGGTCGTTGGACCGTCTCCTAGTGCAGGGGAGATGGGCATCGTCAAAGACGGCACGCATCTACATTAATGAGGGCCCGGGCTGCGTTTGCCGAACTCCATGCGCCAGCCAAAGCGTACTCCCGACAATTTACCAAGTGTTTGATATCACCGCTCCAAACCCTTGAGCTTCCCCCATGCAATGGGGAGGCCAGGGGAGAGTGGAAAGAAGCCGAAACACACCAAGAAGAAACACCACAAATAGTTCTTTCGAATACACACCACCGGCGGAAAAGATGAGAGATCAGCGAGATCGAGAGGGCGGTGGCCCAGATGTCCCCCGGGTAGGCGGGGCCTGCGACCATGGCTCACTCTCAGACCCCGGCTTAGGCAGGGGAGAGTTGGGGGGGCCGAGGCAGGGGGCCTCGAAACACGTGTTTTTCTGCACGTATTGGTTTAAAGTTTGTGACCACTTAGGTCTTGCATTGCGGACAAAAAAAGGAGAAAAACACGGAGTCTTGCTGGAGTGAGCTGTTGAAAGAGGAACTCCGCAGAAGGTGTGGAAGCAGATGGACACAGTGCAAATTTATGCAAATTGATGGAAATTGTATAAGAGCCTTTAAATTGAGAAGCTGCGACCTGCAGAATGGCCTCAAGATGATGATTTGACAGTTTTTACTGTACATGACTTGCTGTTTCCGATTGTTTGCGTTCCAAGTTAGCCCCGAATTAGTCTCTTGTTTTGTGAAGGCCGCTGAGAAGGGCAAAGCCGCCACGGCCACCAACAAGTCAGGGCCCGAAACACAACCTCAGTGGCCACATTGTTGTCAGAAGTTGGCATTAGTTTGGCATCAACAGAAGCACAACCCGTGACATGTTTGTTTCTTGTTGAGGGCACAGGCCAAGCCGAAGAAATGAGCGTGCAGCCTGGGGCGATAGAAGCAGGTTTGGCGTGAGACATTCCAGACATGCCCATCAAAGAGAAGTCATAGTCAGTCTGAGTCAGAGACGCAAATAAAAGACATCAAAGGAATCATGTACAGGTCATCCAGTAGCAAACTGCCGTATACTGTGAGGTCCTGTGGTCAGTTTGGGAGCAACCCTTGCCAGAATGGTAAGCGGCTAGCAACTGGCAGCACTTGCCGCCCAAGAGAAAATAGTACTGGAATGCAAGGGACACCGATCTCACTTCGTTAAGCCGACTTTAGATGCAACATGCAGTCAGCAGCCTACTTGTTGCCTTTCCACAACTTTCACATCATTCCTCACTCTGAAAACCTAATCAAGTTTGATTGCACTAACTTTACAAGAGACATTGGACAATATTGGAAGGTGTGTTTGCCAACCTGCAAGCGTGCTTTGTTGCTAGATCGAGAGCCAGCGTGGGGTCTCCCACCAACCAAGTTGAAACCAATCTCATTCAATTTCTAGCTGGGAGGATACTCTCCGACTACGACAGCTCGATCAAGCTCCCTATCGCACCAAAACAATTTGGAGCCTAATTTGCACCGGGATGCACCAAAACGGTGTGATGCTCGTTGCACCGTGTGTGCCACAGATGGCGCAACGATTTTGAACCTTCAGCTTTCGCTGGCCTTGAGGCTGCACAGGCTTTACCCAAGCACTCAGTTTGACTCAGTGGTTCTTCTTCCTGGCACAGGTTGACACACACTACACACAGGACCTTATCCCGCTGTTTGACTAGGCGCCTGGGCCGAATGTGAGGTCACAGTGTTTGTCTGAAGTGCTCAAAGACTGCCAGGTGCGACTGCCAGTGGCAAAAAAACATGTTTGCCGGGTCTTGGCACATACTTGTTTGCTTCCTTACGCGCGCAAGCCAGCTTACGACATCTTACTTACAATCCAGCAGCAATCTACTCCCTAGTACTTCACTACAATACAGGCTTCATGTCATTCGGGTTCAGGAATGCGTGGGCATGTTGGGCAAACTTTTGCACGATAGGTGTGACGTTTCTGCAGGAGTTTTGTGTTTGAAAGCCGAAAGTATCCCGCCATGGCAGAGGAGCCGGGGTGTCCACAATTCAATGCTTACTCATAAAGCAAGTCGAGAAAGTTGTTTGTCTCCAAAGTTGTGATTCGCCGGTTTGCCTTTCTTTGCCCGGCGGCAGTTGAGGGAGATCCTCCGAGAAGTTTTCTGACGTGTGTGCTGTACACAATGTTCATAATACATGGTCATTTGTTAGCAAGAACAGAATGAAGCTAATGAATGGCTTGTTTCTCAGTATCACAAAGTATATTGGTTGGTGTTGAAGTGTAGCTTTCCCGTGTTCAGTGGCTCAGGAAGCTATTGGAATGGTTGTAAGCACTCATGATAGGTCCACTACAGGTGCAAAACGCCTTCTAAACGTTTGATTGGAAAAGAGCCGTCAGTAGATCAAACAGTCGAGTTGATGTGTAAGCGTTCCACTTTTGCTGAGTGGATCCAGTTTTTGCTCCACCGGATAGTGGTGAGGAGACAGGTGCGATCTTCGGAATTGCTTTGGTGCAGCCGTCGCTGAAGCCGGCCGATTTGGCCCTGGAGAATGTTCGATTCCAACAGCCAGAGCTGCAAGAGATTCAGCCCCGCGACACAAAGAGTTCTGAGTACAGGAGAGGCATCAATAAGCGCAAAGCGACACCTGCTTTGACTGCTTAATGGCAGTCTTTTCTGTTCTGAGCGTTGAACTTCACAAATTTTGTGCATGGAGCTATTTAAGCAAATTCTGAGACGGGCATGGCGTGGTCGCTTAGCCCAAGCATTATCGAGACTTCTCATAATAGTACTGTTTGCTGTAAGGCGTTCTCCAAACTGCCTTTCAATGCATAGAGCTCCAGAGAGAGGCAGAGAGAGAGAGAGAGAGATTTCTTTGAGGAACAATTTCACTTGCACAGCCTGGATTGCCCAGCGGCTTCAGCAGCAGCCAAGGATTGAAGAAGCAGAACCAGATTTTGGCGCACAATGGACCGCTGAGGAGTGTCTCAGATGCCAATTACCGGACCTAATCCCGCATTTGGCACTATTTAGTCAGTCCCAGAGATCACGCTGGATTGCCTTGTTTGGTTCAGAATTGAAGACGGTACTGCGGGCAAGAATTTGGGCAAGAATTCAAAGGGGTGTGAGGGTGAGACAGGTGAGACAAAGCTGGCTAGATCAGGTCTTGGCTCCCACGACATGCTGCTTGCAATTTTTCCCGTAGTTGGCCTAAGTGAAGGTTTGCTCAGTGCCCTTGTTTACTGTAATTTTTCAAGCATTTCACTAGACTGGTTGCCATGAATAGTTTGGCAATATGATGCAATATGATTTGCACTCAGGAATTTTGGATATCGCAATTCATATGAGTCCTGGACTCGATACACAGAGGACGACCCAGAGGCCGCTCCGAACCGCTTCGCCCACGAAGTGTGGGCAAAGGATGTCCAGCACTTTATGAAGCTTGTTGAGATTTGCACAGGGCAACTTAAAACTAGACGACGAATGGGCCTGGGGCGTTGAAACACATGCGTATGTACAAGTCCTGTTGTTGTTCAGTATGTATGTCTCTATCTTGTATCAACGGTGTGGATCACGCATATTCTTACTTGTCGTATCGTCCGCTGGTGTGTACACCCATCCTGCTCCCCAGCGACACGCCGCGTTTACGCACGCATGTCTTTCGTCTCCCAATGTCATGGAGCCACAACTGTCCACGGAGGCTGCAAAAAACTGCATGTGACAACAACATCACTGACGCAATTTCGCCACACTGTGTGTGTGTGTCCCTGACTAGATACGATGATGTGACACAAAGCCTCGTGGACACCGCCAATCATCCCGCTCCCAGCGATACGCAACGCTTACGCAAGCATGTTTTTCGTTCCCAATGGCACGGAGCCGCGCAAACACACTTTCCACCAAGGCCCCGCAAAGCCGCATGGCACAGCGACATCACAGACGTATATAACTTCCTTGATATTTGGTGTTGTGCGATGCCCTTCCCAGGCGACATGAGAAAATCTCTTCCAAGCAGCAGCAAAGACCTCAGCTTGTTTTCGATTCACTGTTTGTTGATCCATTTGGATCCTGCTTCGTGTGACGTCACGACGTCTCTGGCCACTGAGTTCTCAAGTGAAAGCTAAAGACAGCTTTTGCTGCAGCTGGCACTTAAAGTATCCATATTGGCAAACAAAGGGCCTGCGCAGGCCTCACCCACCACCTCCATGCAGTAACGTCAGTTCGGGGTCTCCAGAGTAAGAAGGCAAAACAAGGACGAAGACAAAACATGAATTCGGTTCCAGATGGCGGAGTCTAGCTGAGTACGAAGACGAAGCATGTAAAGTTCTCCCCGCCGCAAATATTCGCGGCAAGAAGACTCACCAGCCCATCGCCCATGTACAGCTATATTGCTGACCGGAACCCCGTTTTGCAACATAGTAGAAGCACCGCCCCGACGAAAGCTATGGGAAGTAAGGTTGAGAGGAGCCAGCCCCAAAACCAAAGAGAGTTTCCGCAGCCAGTAACGGAATTTGGAATAGGAAATACCACGCACAAAGGGTTGACCCTGCTGATAGTAAAGTTTGCGGTAGCGAAGTAGCCAAGCCAGTGTGTGAGAATGTGTGAAAACCACACGGTCGTCTATGCCCCGCTTGGTCTTCCCCAGGAGCAGGACGGCCTGGTGATCCAAGAAAAAGAAGTTGTCCCAAGTGGCTCCGAGAGCTTCAGAGACGCGGAGCAAACCAGTAAAACACAGCATGACAGCAATGGCCATACCTGGTTGGCGCACGATCAAGGCGGAAGCCGCCAAAGCGTAGGCAATTTCAGCCGGACAAGCAGGTGCTTGCTTCACTGGTAATTCATGCTGCCACACCTCCAAGACTCGCTTGGCAATGACAAACTTTGCACGAGGGAAGATCTTGCGCAGAGCCGCGCAGAGAATGACCATCTTTTGCCGCGCCACCCCGGCCTCTTTAGATTCCAGGATGTATTCACCCAACCACTCATCTTGCAGCGCCTCCCCCCACGAGGACCAGGGGAGATGACGGCGTTCCAACTCTGTTTTGAAATCGGAAAGTGCGTCGAGATATTGTTGGCGGCTGCGATCCTGCAGGGTGCTCAACAAAAAACAAAAAACGCTGCACCTTGGAAGGCAAATTTCCAAGAGGAGTGTCCATGGCGACGCCTGGGCGGCGCTGCAGGGCGCTCACGCCAGACGTGCCACGTAGAGCGGCCGAGAGCTGCGCATAAGGGCGTGGGATAGTGCGATAATGCCCACCAGAACATAGCCCAATAAGCGGTCGGTGGCCAACAAAATGAGCACAGTGCTGCTGTAAATGCTGGAAAAAAGTGGGCGCCGGTCCAACTAACATCTGGGTCGGTCTTCGCGCAGGTCCCCCAAATTGACATTGATCCAGGTACACATCTCGAGCCCCAAACTTGCGTAACAAATCAGCTACCGGTGGATGGAACGCAGAAGGAAAGGGATCAATACCAGGGTCGCGCGGGTGCCCCAAAGCGGTCCAGATATTGCGCTCCAGCGCGAGGCCCACCAAATAAGCACACGCTAGAAGGACTCGGGTTTCTATCTTGCAAGCCCGGTGTTCAGTGGGAGCGCGTTGAGGGATGCAGACCAGTGCACTTTGTGAACCTCGACGCGCAGATTTCGCGACAAGCGCAGCCGCAGCACTTTGCGAACCTCGAAGTGCAGATTTCGTGGCAGGCGCGCTACTGTGTGAACCTGGAAGCGCAGATTTCGTGGCAGGCGCAGTACTTTGTGAACCTCGACGTGTAGATTTCCTGGCAGGCGCAACACGTTGTGAACCTCGAAGTGCAGATTTCGTGGCAGGCGCAGCGCTTTGTGCTCTCAGATGCTCACCTCGCTCTCGCTCACACTCTCACACTCACACCTATACTCTCACTCGCTCACCTCACTCATTCACACTCACACTCACCCATACACACACACTCACACTCGCACTCCCACTCACTCGCTCACTCTCGCCTCGCTCACACTCACACTTACTCTCACTCACATTCACACTCACTCTCACTCGCACTCGCGCTCACACTCACTCATGCTCACTCACACTCACTCTCATCCACACTCACTCTCACTCACACTCACTCTCACACTCACTCACAAACTCACTCACACTCACTCTCACTCTCGCACTCACACTCTCACTCACTCTCACTCTCACTCTCACCCACACTCACTCACCCACCTTCACTCTCACTCACACTCGCACTCACACTCACTCTCACTCACTCACTCACTCACTCACTCACCATCACCACGATCTCCACCTTCATCACCACCATCTCCTCTCTGGACCCCAATGCATCTAGAGACGACTTTCTGCTTATATCACACACTTAGGATAGGGTGTACTGAACTGAAAGCGGTGCCACACGCCGGCCTAGGGTTCCAATTCCTAAGGGAACAAGTAAGGAAACCTAAAAGGAAGTGGGGGTCCAGCTAGCAGAGGTCCCGAAGGTTGCAGGTGGCCAGCAACTCCAAAAGAAAACATCGATCGAGCGAACGACAAGGTGACGACGTGCGTGCAGAAAACACTGCATTAGCCGCTTAGTGCACAACAAAGACTGAGACAGCTTTTGCCATACGTAGGTTCTCCAGAGCAGGTACACCAGGTTGATCAGACCTGGCTTCCACCATCACGCATAGCTTCGTTGGCATGCGTTTGCGTAATGGCCGCATGCCCCCTGCTGAGTAAAACAATTCAAAAGAATCCCTGTGACTACAAGGGTTACACACACACGCCCCCCCGAAGGGAGGCATGTGTGACCTCCATCCTGCCCGGAAAGGAGGTGGGCACATGTGCGCGCAAAAGGGACAGATGAAAATGAAAAGAACGAGACAGACAAAGGTGTGTGTGGTTGCCGATGAAAAGGAACCAAGTGAAGAGGGACAACCGATGAGCCAAACCTCATTGTAACGAACCTGGGCCACCTGAACCTAGCTGTAAGTAGAGTACGCGTGCGTGTATGTGTACAAACTAAGGTCCGGACAATAGTGCGCGCAAGAGAAAGAAAGGATGAGGATGAAGAGACATGAAGACAGAAGGACATGAAAGAAAAGAAGGAAAAAAAACGTCTGTGCGGGCGGATGAAAGGGGAACCAAGTGAAAGGGAACAAACCGATGACAGTCCAAACCTCATTGAGAAACCTGTTGCAGAAGCCTAGTTTGCTTGTAAATACGCCACGCGCGAGGAAAGAGGGGGAGGGGAGGAGGAAGAGAGAAGGAGGGAGAGAAGGAAGCAAAGGTGTTCCCAGCTACGGCACAAGCGTCCAAGGACACACCAAAAAGGAAGGGCTCCCAGCTATGACGAAAGCATCCAGGGACGCCCAAGGAAGAGGGCGAAGAGAGGAAAAAGAGAAGGAAAGAAAGAGAGAGGGAGAGAAAGGGAGAGGAGAGAAAGGAAGGTGTTCCCAGCTACGAACAATCGTCCAGGGACACACCAAAGAAAGAAAGGGGAGATCCTGAGTATTACATTCAGGAAAACCCCAGAAAGCAAAGAGAGAAAGAGGGAGGGAGGGGGAGAAGGGGGGCTAAGTTCTCCACAGGTTCCAATGAACCTTAAACTGGCTTTGACCGCTGTGGTCACCTTGTGCCCTGCCGAAATGGCTGGCTGCTTTGACCGCTGCGGTCACGTAAAGGCGTGAGCCAACTTGGAATTCCAAAGATGAGACAAACATCCCACTTCTTGCGGCGTAAGCCATCTGCTGTCCGCTCCGGACACGTACATCTCCAAAGCAGGGGAGATAACGACGTACCCCCGTTCAACGGGTCCACGGGAGGCACTCTGCGGGCTCATCCCGGGTTGGCGCGAAGCCAAACACACTTAGGATAGGGTGTACTGAACTGAAAGCGGTGCCACACGCCGGCCTAGGGTTCCAATTCCTAAGGGAACAAGTAAGGAAACCTAAAAGGAAGTGGGGGTCCAGCTAGCAGAGGTCCCGAAGGTTGCAGGTGGCCAGCAACTCCAAAAGAAAACATCGATCGAGCGAACGACAAGGTGACGACGTGCGTGCAGAAAACACTGCGTTAGCCGCTTAGTGCACAACAAAGACTGAGACAGCTTTTGCCATACGTAGGTTCTCAAAAGCAGGTACACCAGGTTGATCAGATCTGGCTTCCACCATCACGCATAGCTTCGTTGGCATGCGTTTGCATGATGGCCGCATGCCCCCTGCTGAGTAAAAACAATTCAAACGAATCCCTGTGACTACAAGGGTTACACACACACGCACACACACACACTGTTTGGGATCTCTTGCCGGGATAATTGTAGAGAGAAATCTGTGGAATTCTCATTGATAACTGATTCTGTTGCATTTTTAGTGCGTGTTCCTTCCAACCCTGAGCGCGCGTGGAAAA